TTTTTGTTTATATTATTTTTCGTCTCATGTTCCCCGTCCTGTTCGTTAGTTTACAGTAAAACTAAATGTCCCTGTGAGTCAGATTAGGTCAGATGCCCTCCCTGTGTCCTGTAGTTCAGACGTCTGCAGGTTCTGTGGTTTAAAGTTCATATTTCTCTGGTCGTGTCTCGTGCTGTGGGTCTGATGTTTTACAGTGAGCGGCTTTAGTTAAAACACAGAGTCTCCAGAGACGAGTCCATGTAGGTCAACTGTGCTCAAACCACAAAACTCTGATCATACAAAACACCCCCAACGTTCTGAGAGCACCCGGAGGAGAAGAGACGAGAGAGAGAGACAAAACACCCCCAACGTTACTGAGAGCACCCGGAGGAGAAGAGACGAGAGAGAGAGACAAAACACCCCAACGTACTGAGAGCACCCGGAGGAGAAGAGACGAGAGAGAGAGAGACAAAACACCCCAACGTACTGAGAGCACCCAGAGGAGAAGAGACGAGAGAGAGAGACAAAACACCCCCAACGTACTGAGAGCACCCAGAGGAGAAGAGACGAGAGAGAGACAAAACACCCCCAACGTACTGAGAGCACCCAGAGGAGAAGAGACGAGAGAGAGAGACAAAACACCCCCAACGTACTGAGAGCACCCGGAGAGGAGAGAGACGAGAGAGAGAGAAAATACTCCCCACGTACTGAGAGCACCCGGAGGAAAGAGACGAGAGAGAGAGACAAAACACCCCCAACGTACTGAGAGCACCCGGAGGAAGAAGAGACGAGAAGAGAGAGAGAGAAAAACACCCCAACGTACTGAGAGCACCCGGAGGAAAAGAGACGAGAGAGAGAGACAAAACACCCCCAACGTTCTGAGAGCACCCAGAGGAGAAGAGACGAGAGAGAGAGACAAAACACCCCCAACGTACTGAGAGCACCCGGAGGAGAAGAGAGAGAGAGAGAGAAAAACACCCCAACGTACTGAGAGCACCCGGAGGAGAAGAGACGAGAGAGAGAGACAAAACACCCCCAACGTACTGAGAGCACCCGGAGGAAAAGAGACGAGAAGAGAGAGAAAATACTCCCCACGTACTGAGAGCACCCGGAGGAGAAGAGACGAGAAGAGAGAGAAAAACCCCCCACGTACTGAGAGCACCCGGAGGAGAAGAGACGAGAGAGAGAGAGACAAAACACCCCCAACGTACTGAGAGCACCCGAGAGGAGAAGAGACGAGAGAGAGAGACAAAACACCCCCAACGTACTGAGAGCACCCGGAGGAGAAGAGACGAGAGAGAGAGACAAAACACCCCCAACGTTCTGAGAGCACCCAGAGGAGAAGAGACGAGAGAGAGAGACAAAACACCCCCAACGTACTGAGAGCACCCGGAGGAAAAGAGACGAGAGAGAGAGACAAAACACCCCCAACGTACTGAGAGCACCCAGAGGAGAAGAGACGAGAAGAGAGAGAAAATACTCCCCACGTACTGAGAGCACCCAGAGGAGAAGAGACGAGAGAGAGAGAGAAGAGAGAGAGAAAACACTCCCCACGTACTGAGAGCACCCGGAGGAGAAGAGACTAGAGAGAGAGAGAGAGAGGAGAGAAAGGAAGAGGACAGATGACACACCCCTCCTCCCTCACGTACTGTAAACCCCCAGAGGAAATGTCCCTCAAGAGTGAAGAGAGAGAGAGAAAGAGAAAGAGAGAATGAAAAATAGATAGAGAGAGAAAGGGAGAGAGACAACGAGAGGGAGAGAGAAAGAGGGAGAAATAGAGAGAAGGAGAGAGACAGAGAGAGGAAGACAAAGAGAGAAGGAAGGAGAGAGACAGAGACAAACAGACAGAGAAAGAGAGAGAGAGAGAAGAAGAGATAGAGAGAGAAAGAAAGAGCAGGGGAGAGAAAGACATAGCAAGAGAGAGAGAAAAAAAGAGAGAGAAAAGAGAGACAGATTCACACAGAGACACAGGGAGGGAGAAGGAGAAAAAGAGACAAAGAGAGATGGAGAGAGAGAGAGACAGAGACAGAGAGAGCCAGAGAGAGAAAGACATAGCAAGAGAGAGAGAGAGAAAAAGAGAGTGAAAAAGAGAGACAGACTCAGACAGAGACAGAGTGAGAGAGAGAGAGAGAGAGAGAGAGAGAGAGAGAGAGAGAGAGAGAGAGAGAGAGACAAAGAGCAACACAGAGAGATGGAGAGAGAGAGACAAAGAGAGACAGAGACATGGAGAGAGAGAAGGAGAGAGAAAGAAAAAAGAGATGCAGTGAAAGAGAGAGAGAGATGGAGGAAAAGAGAGGAAAAGAGCAAGAGAGAAAGAAAGAGACAAGAGAGAGAGGGAAGGAGAGAGCGAGAGAGAGAGGAGAGAGAGAGAGAGAGAGAGAGAGAGGGGGACAGGGCGGGAGATTAAGAGAGAGAAAAAAGAGGAGAGAGGAGAGACCAAGAATCCCTCTAGGACTTTGTACCCCAAGAGGATCTGTCCCGAAACTTAATGAAGAAATACGAGAAAGGAGAAAGAGAGAGAAAGGAAGGAAGAGAAGAGAGAAAGGAAGAGGACAGACGACACACCCCTCCTCCCTCACGTACTGTAAACCCCCAGAGGAAATGGTGAAAAGAGAGAAGAGAGAGAGAAAGAGAAGAGAGAGAAAGAGAGAGGAGAGAGAACCGCTGAGGATAAAATAAGGAGTAGAGGGAGAAGAGAAGATGGCGAGAAAGAGAGAGTGAAGGGTAGAGGGGGTAGAGAGAGAGTGTATATGAGAGAGAAAAAGAGAGAGACGGAGTGAGGGAGGGAGAGAGAGAGAGAGAGAGAGAGAATGAAGGAGTGACACCCGCAGCGTCACATTCACGAAGAAATTATCCGAGCGTTTCCTCCGAGACTTACACCAATTATCCCCCGAAAATAGAACCGAAAACACACAAGAGCGCGGGAGGGCATCTGACACACACACGCCGAACCCGAGAAACCTCTAGAGCGCTCGTCTCTCTCCGTGCTAAGACACAACCCCTTCAGAGCGCCATCGCAACAACATCAGCGTTTGGACACGTTTGGAGAGATAAAGATTAAAGCGAAAATCAAAACATCCTGAAGAAAACAAACCCTCACACGCACACACACTCCTCTACTGCAGAGAGAGAGAGAGAGAGAGAAAGAGAGGAAAAGAAAGGAGAGAGAGAGAAGAAGAGAGAGCGGGAGAGAGGGGGAGGAACAAAGAAACAGGGAAAAAGAGAGAGAGAAAGAGAGATAGACACACAGAGAGACACAGAGAGATGGAGAGAGAAAAAGAGATAGAGTGACAGAGAGAGAGAGGGAAAGAGAGACACAGAGAGAGAGAAACGGAAAGAGAGGAAGATAGACAGAAAAAGAGCTAGAGAGAGAGAGAGAGAGAGAAGAGAGATGGAGGGAGAGAGAGAGAGAGACAGAGAGAGAGACAGAGAAAGAGAGAGAGAAAAAGAGCTACACAGAGACAAAGAGAGAGCGATAGAGAAAGAGACAGAGGGTGATGGAGAAAGAGGAAGAGAGAGAAATGAGAGAGAAGGAAAGAGCGAGACAAAGGGAGAGAGAGAGACGGAGAGAGAGAGGAAGAGAGAGAGAGAAAACGAGCTAGAGAGAGAGAGAAAGAGAGAGCGACAGAGAGAGATGAAAAGAGAGAAGAAGAGAGACAGACAGAGAGAGAGAGGAGAGAAACAAGACAGCAAGAGACAGAGAAAAAGAGCTAGAGAGAGAGAGAGAGAGACAAAGAGAGGGCGCCAGAGAGAGAGATGGAGAGAGAGAGAGAGAAAGAGAGACAGAAAAAGAGAGAGATAGAGGCACAGAGACACAGCGAGACAGAGGGAGAGAAAGAGAAGGAGAGAGAGAGACAAAGAGAGACAGAGACAAAGAGAGAGACACACAGAGAGAGAGAAAGAGAGACAGACAGAGACAGAGAGGCAGAGGAGAGAGAGAGAGGAAGAGAAAGAGAGAGACAAAGAGAGAGCAACAGAGAGAGATGGAGAGAGAGGGGGAGAGGAGAGAGACAGAAAAAGAGAGACAGAGGTACAGAGACACAGCGAGACAGAGAGAGAAAGAGAAGGAGAGAGAGAGACACACACACAGAGAGAGAGACAGAAAAAGATAAAGACAAAGGCATAGAGACACAGAGAGACAGAGAAAGAAAAGGAGAGAGAGACAGACAGAGAGAGAGACACACACCGCCAGAGACAGACAGAGACACAGAGAGAGAGAGAAAGAGAGACAGACAGAGACAGAGAGGCAGAGGAGAGAGAGAGAGAGAGGAAGAGAAAGAGAGAGACAAAGAGAAAGCAACAGAGAGAGATGGAGAGAGAGAGAAAGAGAGACAGAAAAAGATAGAGACAAAGGCATAGAGACACAGCGAGACAGAGAGAGACAGAGAAAGAGTCAAAGAGAGAGAGAGACCCGCACAGCCACAGACAGAGACAAAGAGAGAGATGGAGAGAGAAGAGAGAGAGAGAGAGAGAGACAAAGAGACAGAGAGAGAGACAAAGAGACAGAGAGAGACAGAGACAGAGAGAGAGAGAGAGAGAGAGAGAGAGTGACAAAGAGAGAGAGAGAGACAGGGAAAGAGAAAGAAAGAGTCAAAGAGAGAGAGAGAGAGAGACAGAGAGAGAGACAGAGAGAGAGAGACAAAGAGAGAGAGAGACAGAGAGAGAGAGAAAGAGAAAGAGACAGAGAGAGAGAGAGAGAGACAAGAGAGACAGGGAAAGAGAAAAGAAAGAGTCAGACAGAGAGAGAGAGAGAGAGACAGGGAAAGAGAAAGAAAGAGTCACAGAGAGAGAGAGAGAGAGAGAGAGAAAGGAAGAGAAAAGAAGAGAGAGAGAGAGAGAGAGAGAGAGAGACAGAGAGACAGGCACAGCCACAGACAGAGCCAAAGAGAGAGACACAGGGAGAGAAAGAGAGACAGAAAAAGAGAGACAGAGGCATAACGAGACAGAGGGAGACAGAGAAAGAGAAAGAAAGAGAGTGAAAGAGAGAGATCAGTAAAGGGAGAGAGAGAGGTGGTGTGTACCTGTGCTGCTCTGGATGGTCCGGACGGTGGTGGCCGTGGTCCGGGGCGGCGAGGACGGCAGCAGCAGCAGAGGCCTCCCCCCCTCGCCCTCGTGCTCGCTGGCGCAGCCCTGGTCGATCGCCCGCACGTAGCTGGGGCTCCGCATCCGGAAGCAGCCGGGCATGGGCAGCGTGTCCATGGGCTCCAGACTGTCCATGCCCCCGCGGTCCATCCTGTCCATCCGGTCCATCCTGTCCATCCGGTCCATCCTTTCCATCCGGTCCATCCTGTCCATCCGGTCCATGGCCTGGGACTGGAGCTCGCTGTAGACCTGCTCGCAAACCTGCTCGATCTGACCGTTCACCTCCACCTCGCTCAGCTGCGACGGGAGCGACGGGAGCGACGGGAGCGAGTGCGCGGCAAGAACGGGAGACAAACGGCAGAAATAGACGGAATAAGAGGCTTTCAGGGGAGGTAAAAATGGACAGATGAATATTGCATAGGAGGAGTTTTAGAAGGAGGAGGTCCATTAGCGAGCGGAGAATAGATGTTGTGGACAAAATGGACATGCACGGGTCGACACAAACAAGCGGAGACAGACGAGAGACAGTGAGGACAGAGAGAGGTACGTGATAAAAGTACTACAACTAATACTTTTACTACTACTACTAGTGCTAACAGTAGTGCTGCTGCTGCTGCTGGTGCGAGTGCATGCGGTATTTATTTATAGGATGTAACAATATCAGAAAAACTACGATAATAAAGTAAGTACACAGCAAAAACTGGAGGGTTAAAAGTTCAGGTTGAAATATTTAACACAAAAAAAGTGTTATTTTAACTATTTGAAAGTTAAATGGGGGTTCGAGTCAGGGTGATTTGTCAGAGTTGCTATGGTTGAAGTAAATTTAACTTTCTCAAGTGTTAATTCAACTCTTCTTAGTGTTAATTCAACTTCCTCTAGTGTTAATTCAACTTCTCCTAGTGTTAATTCAACTTCCTCTAGTGTTAATTTAATTTTCTCTAGTGTTAATTCAATTTCCTCTAGTGTTAATTCAACTTCTCCTAGTGTTAATTCAACTTCCTCTAGTGTTAATTCAATTTCCTCTAGTGTTAATTCAACTTCCTCTAGTGTTAATTCAACTTCCTCTAGTGTTAATTCAACTTCCTCTAGTGTTAATTCAACTTCCTTTAGTGTTAATTCAACTTCCTCTAGTGTTAATTCAACTTCCTCTAGTGTTAATTCAACTTCCTCTAGTGTTAATTCAACTTCCTCTAGTGTTAATTCAACTTCCTCTAGTGTTAATTCAACTTCCTCCTAGTGTTAATTCAACTTCCTCTAGTGTTAATTCAACTTCTCCTAGTGTTAATTTAATTTCCTCTAGTGTTAATTTAACTTCCTTTAGTGTTAATTCAACTTCCTCTAGTGTTAATTCAACTTTCCCTAGTGTTAAATCAGCTTCCTCTAGTGTTACTTCAAACTCCCGCGAGAGTAGACCAGTTTGAACCAGTAGTTTTTTTTCATAATTTCATCTTAAATTAACTAAAATAAAGTGTAAAAATAAAACACCTCTGTGTGTTGTTTCGCTAAAATCAGGATAACTCTACGAAGTGTTATCTGTTTACTCTCAAAATGTTAATATAACTCTTGATTTCAGGGTTAAACAGGAACTTTGGTCCAGTGTTACTTAATTAACATTTTGAAAAATTAAAATTAAATTAACTCTAGAACAGATTGGACTGAAATAAACTCTGAGAAAATGTTAAAATTGACTCTCACAGAATCAATTTTAACACTTCACTTTTTGCTGTGTACTGCATGTTGAACTTGTATTTTGTAAAAGCGATTGTTTTCTCTTGTTCTGAGAAAATGGCCAAACTACAAAGACCATGATCCTTTGCTCCATTTCATTGCACCCAAGTTTGGCCAATATGCTTTTTTGTTGTTTTTTTTAAACACTTTCGTCATTTAATGTGACTTTTCTCATGGGGTTCCGCTCATATAAAGACGTGGCTCACTATGTCCATTTATACAGTCGATGGTTTGTCTCCATGGAGATGATATTTCTTGGCCTAGAATGTTCTGCAGTGTGGCATTAAAGGAATATATCACCATGGAGTCAGCTGTTTGGAGAAGTGTCCGTGCTCACAGTAAGAATCTTCTTCAAGGTCATTTTGAGGAGTTTAAAACACCTGGTACTAAAGACATGGAAGATTAGAGCGACCAGACGTCCCTGTTTACTTGGTTTACAGTCTCAGTGTTGAGCCCAGTGTCCTATGTCCCAGTGGATTTGTCCAAAACCAGTGATTTGTCCCAGTTTTATACATACTTTTTTTGACCAATTTGATCCCTGCCAACAATAAAGAGAAATATAAACTGTCATTTGTTTTGGTAAAATACAGAAAAGCTGCTTAAAAACGACAAAATACAAAAAAATGTGACTATACTGACTCATGTGGTGAATAAGGCGACGTTCAGACTGCAGGGCTTAACGCTCAATTTCGATTTTTTTGTGAAATCCGATGTTTTTGCGATGTCGTTCACATTTCCATTTAAATGCGACTTGTATGTGACTCCAGTGTGAACATTAAACGGCCCGAAAATGTCCCGCATGTGACACTGGAGACACGACGACGTCAACCGCAGCGAGCGTCTCTGTGTTTACAGAAGTTGTCCAAACATGGCGAACATTTAGCACCTGGAGATTTTAAAGTTCCTCTCGTACCGGAGCCAGAACATGAACAACTTACTTGTTTTAAGGAGGAGATTGAGAAGGAGAAGGACGAGGTTTTTGGTCGTGGTGTTTTGTGGGACAGTCCGTTGAAAGGAACGTGTGGATGTGGAGATGTAGCCGACACGGAGTTCATTAACAATTTTCGTATGACGTGAAGAACGTTTGTGTACGTTTGTGAGCGCCGACTTGTGCCGCTCTCGGAGGAAACACAGCTTCGGCGGCTTATTTCCGTGAGCAAACGTGTCGGCGTTGGGCTGTATTGGCCACTTGGAGCACATATCCAAATGTCCTGGGTCGCATTTGAAAAAAATCGGATCTGTGTCGTTCAGACTGTCATTAAAAGATCAGATACAGGAACATAGGGGTCAAAAAATCTGATTTGGGTCACTTCAGGCTGCGGTCTGAACGTCGCCTTAGTCATGAACGGGCCGAGTCCATAACAATTTTCCTGAGTTACACGTTACACTCGTTTTACAATTTTATTATGACCGGCCACTACAGACCGAGGGTGTCCCAGATTTTTATTACAATTATCTGAAAATCTGGTGACCCTACACAAGACAGATACATTAAATCTACTGTGGAACCTTGTAGACCAGGCATGTCCAAACTATGGTCCGTGGGCCAAATGCGGCCCTCAGACAAATTTTCCTTGGCCCTCAGGCTTCCAGGTGAATTTGCCCAAATTACATGGCATCAACTAGAAATGACCTTTTTGCTGCAAGTTTTTTGAAAACCTACTTTGATAAAGCCAATATTTAATATTTATTGTGTGATTTTAAGGATTTTAGTGTGAATAAAAACTGATGGTTCATTCTAACGTGTTAAACTGCAAATATTTTGATTATTCACTGTACTGAGCTCCAGTCTACAGCCCTCGATCAGTCCTCTGCTTCATCAGTGTTTACATATGTGACCCTTGATGAAAAAAGATTGGACAGCCCTGTTATAGACTAAAGTAATAACAATAATATCTCCATGGAGACAAACAGACGGCAGAACCCCACTAGAAAAGCTGCAGTGCGGAGTTTTGAATGATAAAAATATAAAATGCACTAAAGACGTTTAGTTACTGTACACAAATGTTCTGTTTAGGTTTAACTGTTTTAATATTGTGACATCCTCTTTTGTGAACATGCAGTGGTGCGGAGGGGAAGGCCCGGTGTAGCTGTGGTGTCATCATGCTAACGCTAACGCTACCTCGCTAACATGACTTGAGGCCAGAGCTTTTCAGAAGATCCTCCAGAACAGGTCTGACGCCAAAAGCATTTGAACGAGCACATTTGGATTAACGCAAGAGTCGAGAAAAAGAAAAAGTGTCTCTCTCATCTATCATCTATAATAAAAACTGGATAAGCCCCGCCCCCTCTGTCCCGCTCCAGACCGACTAGTGGCCGCTCCAGGTACTGCAGCTGCGGGAGTTTGAGTCCCAGGTAATGACAGGACGTCTGACTTTCACAAAGGTCAGATTTTGGATTTTGTCGGGTGATGGAGCCGGAAGCGCGCCCAGTGCTCACTTCCTGTCTGGACCGCAGCAGCTGGCGGGTTCACTATGTCCATTTAAAAACACAGTGTGTGGTCAGGAGCAGAAGAACCCATGTCCAGAACTTGATCTTGTCTTGGTGATTTGACATGTTGTGTTTTGGGTCTAGACTAGAGGTAATGATGGTTAAAATAAATGAAGCTAAAATTTTAAGTAGAAAGAGTTTATTATGTGTCAGTGGCCACGTTTACATGATGATTTTAATTATGAATTAAATATTTGGGAATTAAAATGTTCTCCATCGAGTTTACATGGAAATAATACCGTATTTTCCACATTATAGAGTCATAGAATGGTCTATTTTCAAACTTTTTTCACAAATAAACCACACCGGACTTTAAAGGAAACACAACAGTGTGATGGGTGAGTGGTTTTGTTTGTTTGTTCGTTCACGGTGACTCTGGGCTTTGTTCAGTTGTGTAGGGAGGGTGCTGTCTGGGACCAACGGGTTGTCGGCGTGTTCGCAGTGACTAGAAGTGGCACATTGCACTCGCTTTTTCGGTTCGTTCCTCTGTTCCGTTCCTCGTCGGCGTGGAGTGATGAGTGTGTCTGTGGGTGTTTTTCGCTGTGCGGTCGCTGTCTGCTCCGCGTGTGCTTGCAGCTTTGTAGTTTTGTGGGGGCATAATCGTTTTTTGACGGGGTTGGAGGCTTAATGGTGCGGAAAATACGGTAAATACGTTAAATCATCTTTATTATTTACTAATAATTCCGCTCAACGTGGGGAAGGGCTCTGATTGGACAGAGACACAAACAGATTCAACCGGAGTCAACCAGAAGAACACACACTTCAGCTACTACCAACTTTTCTGTCATCTCAGTTTGTCGTGACCCCACGGACACAAACATGATCAAAATTTTTTCCGCGGTCGTTCCGATGATAATTGCGCAGCAGCTGGAGAATTCTGTCATCACACTTTACGTCTGTCGGCTGAGGAGGAGAAGGGAAGAGTGTCGGAGAAGGGAGGAAGAAGACAAACTGAGCGTGAGGCTGCACTACCTCAGCCCACTCCCGCATCCCGCTCACAAATCCAAAGAGACGTGGAGGAAAGTCCGAAGACAGGACTGGTGGAGCCGGATCGAAGAGCGACCAAACGAGCATGCGCTGAACGACCGGAAATATTTTTAAGAAAAATAAATGTTTACATGATCGAGAAATAAATGAATTTGGCTCTAAAATCGAAATAAACCACCCACTTACTTCGGAATTAAGTGTTTTTACGTGGCCGTTTCAACGCGGAATTCAATTTTTTGTATTCAGAATTAAAGCTCTCATGTAAACGTGGCGAGTGTCTGCAGTTCACGACTCACAGAACGGTCCAGTCGAATGAGACGCTCAGAAACATGAAACAATGAAACACTGCGGGACACGGCGTATGGAGACAGCGCAGGTCCACAGTCTGACCTGAAGGGGGCAGACCTGAGCAGCGGTTTGAGCTTTAAAAACGTCCACAAATACACATGAGATGCACAGTGATGGGAAGAATACTGTTTAGTTACTCTCTACTGAACAGCTGTTTTAAAATGTATTTTGCAACATACTCTCTGTATTCTGTTAGAATGCAGTAAATTAATCAAATAATATTCTACAATAATTTAAATAATTATCCATAACAATTTATCACTTGCAAGTTGAAGATCTTCTGCGATAAAAAAGCCTTAAAGAGGAGGTATTTTATTTCTACGTAGTATTAAAGGGCCCATCTCATGCAAAATCAACTTTTCAGAACTTTTTACCTTCTAAGAGTGATGTGTGGGCCTTGTATTTATCGCTGAAGTGTTTTTTAGATTGATTCTGTGTTTTTTTTTTTTTAACAAATTGCAGTGTATTTCTGTCACCCTCCAACATGACAACGAACTAAAGCTGCTACAACGATGATGCGGCAGATACACCTATGACACTTTTAACGTAGCAGAAAACACTTCGTACCTGCCTTCACCACCTCCGCCACCTCCATCCCGCCTGCAGTGAACACGATATAATAAGTGTATCTACTAGTGTTTATTAATCCTTTACCAATCAGTAATGTTCAGCTGATGTGGACGCGGTGCTTGAGCTTCGTGCTCCTCAAAGTCCCGTCCGATTCCGGGTCCAACACATGCGGCTGAACGCGCTGTATCTCCATGATGAATAAAAGTTTATTCCTGCCGCTATCAGGGTGCACGTCTGTCTCCCCCTCCCTCCCTGAGATGGCGGAGGAAGGGCGGCTCACTCGTCGCCTACGTCACGTTTGGAGGGCGGAGCCTGTGCTTTCTCAGAACGGGCGGGGGAGGAGCAATAGTTGGACTTTCATAGTTCCTCATCTGTGACTGTCTCCAAGAAATCAGTAAGATTTCAGAACTATTGTGTCATGGATGTTCCAAAACCAAAATTGTGCTTGTTTATGTGCAGAAGATACAATGTGCAAAGAGTTATTTTACATGAGACGGGCCCTTTAATTGTAACACATCACATTTTGCAATCATCATGTTACTTTTTATTGTTTTGAAAATGCTTTATTCTAACCTCCCTTTGCTCTCCGCACTAAATCACACCTCCTTCAGAGCACTATCACAACACAATCGCCGCGCGTCCCACTGATCATGTTTTTGTATATTTATGAAGAATTGTCGAGTGGGGGCATGGCTGATTTAGGCGTGTGGGCGGAGCCTCGTACAGAATCTCACAGCTAACCGTGAAAAGGGTTTGAATAGAGCCCAGGAGAGATCGCTAAATTACTCAGACATGCATGGATGACTCTAAAACCTCTTTGGGCATTTTTTTGACAAGAGACCAAGTTTATAACATGGTGAAAAGCTCAGCAATTTGCAAAATACCACCACTTTAAAGTAACACTAAACTCTAAATCACACTTTCTTTTTGCTCTTAAACTGTATATGTTGTTTTAATAACATTTCTAAGTTTGCCCAACCCTTGGAAACTCAAAATAGTTAAGTAACGTACGCAATATCTTTTTTTGGATTTAAGAAAGTAACAGTATTCTGAGTAAATTAAAGAGTATCTGTACAGTCCTTCAAAGTCAGAATTATTACCGTGTTTTTCAGACTATAAGTCACACTTTTTTTATGGTTTGGGTGTTTCCTGCGACTTTTACTCTGGTGCAACTTATATATTAATATTTTGCACAGAAGCCGCGAGAGGATCTAGTGTTGGATTAACGCAAGTGTCAAGAAAAGTCAGAAAGTGTGACTTATTAATGTTTTTTTCTTGTTCATTATGCATGTTTTAGCTGGTGCGACTCATACTGCGGAGCGATTTATAGTCTGAAAAATACGGTGAGTAACTTGAATCTATGTTTTGTTTACTTCCCAGCACTGGAGATGGCGGCGAGTGTGGACATGGACAGCCTCTAGTCTCTGATCTCTGGTCTCTGGTTTATTTCTCTGCTCTGACACAGACCTGGCTGATGGTGCTCATGGCCCTCATGTAGCTCTCGTTCCTGGAGCGATACTGGGGGGACGACAGCAGACTCTTGGGGTCGAGCAGGGCTTTGGGGTCCAGGGTGTCCAGGCTGCGGTTTATGGACACTTCACTCACCGCGCGGAGGTAACTGTGACTCCTGATCTGCAGCTTCGGGGAGTGCTCTGTGGAGATCCTGAAGGACACAATATCAGACACAATATCAGGCAAAATAAAAATATGAGACAAAATATGAGACAGAATATCAGAATTAAGGCTGTCACGGTTAGCAGCGCGGTATGCGGTGATATCGCACCCCCTCCCCCACCCCACATCCTCCGGAGTTATAATATTTCCAGTGGCTCTGAAAACTCTCTCTGATGATGCGCTTGTTGCAGATGCACTTGTACCTTGGTTGTCGTGCAGATAGTATGTGTGTAGTGTGTCTAGTGTGGGAGAAGTAACATTTGGCTTTGCAACAAGTGCTGCTGCATCTCTCCAACTCAGCTCAGGTCAGAGTCCTGCTCCAGGTCAGGTCAGAGTCCTGCACCAGGTCGGGTACCCGCGGACTTAAGAGAGAGAACCCCAAGCACAAGCACGCGGAGCAGGTGTCCTCAAAGTGCAATCGGACGACGGCCGCACTTAACTCTGTGCGGTGCGTAACCGGTCATTTCGCCAGCGGTCACCTGACAGTCTACGCAGGCGCACCTTAGTCCTGGGTTAGTCCTAAGTTAGTCCTGGGTTAGTCCTGGGTTAGTCCTAAATTAGTCCTGGGTTAGTCCTGGGTTAGTCCTAAGTTAGTCCTAAATTTAGTCCTAAATTAGTCCTGGGTTAGTCCTGGGTTAGACCTGAGTTAGTCCTGGGTTAGTCCTGGGTTAGACCTATGTTAGTCCTGGGTTAGTCCTAAGTTAGTCCTAAATTAGTCCTAAATTAGTCCTAAATTAGTCGTGGGTTAGTCCTAAATTAGTCCTAAATTAGCCCTGGGTTAGACCTGAGTTAGTCCTGGGTTAGACCTGGGTTAGTCCTAAATTAGTCCTAAATTAGTCCTGGGTTAGACCTGAGTTAGTTCTGGGTTAGTCCTAAATTAGTCCTCGGTTAGTCCTGGGTTAGTCCTAAATTAGTCCTGGGTTAGACCTGAGTTAGTCCTGGGTTAGACCTGGGTTAGTCCTAAATTAGTCCTAAATTAGTCCTGGGTTAGTCCTAAATTAGTCCTGGGTTAGACTTAAGTTAGTCCTGGGTTAGACCTGGGTTAGACCTGAGTTAGTCCTGGGTTAGACCTGGGTTAGACCTGTGTTAGTCCTGGGTTAGTCCTGGGTTAGTCCTGGGTTAGACCTGTGTTAGTCCTGGGTTAGTCCTAAATTAGTCCTGGGTTAGTCCTGGGTTAGACCTGGGTTAGTCCTAAATTAGTCCTAAATTAGTCCTGGGTTAGTCCTAAATTAGTCCTGGGTTAGTCCTGAGTTAGTTCTGGGTTAGTCCTAAATTAGTCCTCGGTTAGTCTTGGGTTAGTCCTAAATTAGTCCTAAATTAGTCCTGGGTTAGTCCTGGGTTAGACCTGGGTTAGTCCTGGGTTAGTCCTAAATTAGTCCTTGGTTAGTCTTGGGTTAGTCCTAAATTAGTACTAAATTAGTCCTGTGTTAGTCCTGGGTTATCATGGGCACGGGCGGTAACAGGTGGAATGTTAACGGGTCTGGGCGGGTGCGGGTCTCTAAAAATGGACCCGTGCAAGTCTCTGGGTCGTGTCAGGTGCGGTGATCACGGTGGCCCAACATGCACCACGGTCGACCTCTCAGTACCGCGGTGATTCATTTTTGCAGTTATTGCGACAGCCCTAATCGGAATATGAGACAGAATATAAGACAAAAGTTTTACAAAGTTCAAGAGAATATGAGACAGAATATCCGAATATGAGTCAGAAAAAGAGATAGTATGAGACAGCATATTATACAGACCATGAAACAGATTAAGAGAGTAACACACATTTTATACACAGACAAAACAATGGACCTCATGTTCTTATGGACGGCCTTTCAAAAAATGTTCTTTATTTTATTTAATTATTATCAGGAGACATTCTACTGTTTCAGAATTGTATTACTCTGAATATAGGCGAGTTTCAGCTGACGTCATTGTTATTAAAAGCCCGCGTTTCATGCTGGGAAATATTTTAGTCGGAGGCAAGAAACACAATAGCGTCAAACTCAGTGCGTAACCTCGCGTATTTATCCCCGATAATGGTAAATTCCTGCTGCATTATCGGATGCACAAATAGAAGCACGGAAGAAGGAAAATGTCTTTTTCGTATTCTGAGTGAAAAGAACCGCTAACGGTGAATTAAACGACTTTCAAACATCCGCAGAGCAAACATAGAAGATCCTAACAAACCGTGGACTCCAACAAGTTCAACAACACATCGAGACTCTTGGAGGTTTTCATCTTTTCTGCTGTGAATGGCCCAGGAGTTTCCACCAAGTCATTGTGGATATCGCCCAAGTGAATATTTGTCCAGGTAGTTGGCGATTCTGACCAGAAATTTGGTTTGTTCCACCTTTTGTAGGGGTTGAAAAGTGTGTTTTGGCTCCATCGATGCTTATGACCAATTTCTGGTCAAATGGTCTTGGGTCCTCTGCCGTTAGAGTGGATAAATAACCGGGATCAATACCCTTTACGTGCTTTCTCACTCCGTCCGTCATGTTGAATTAGTGTTTCTTGCCGCCGACCAACATAATTCCCAGCATGCAACGTGCGCTTTTGTCAACAATGAAACTCGCCTATTCCAGTCTGGAATATGGCTTAGTAGTATTTATTGGAGAGAAGAGTGAAGGACTATTATTACTATTTTAAATATATAAATTAAAATCCTAAAAAAGTCTCAAATGTTATTACATATGTCAACCTTCCAGCAAGATGAGTTTTTGTGAGTCTTGTGTTGGTCCTGCCCCTGATCAATCACAGTGCAGCTCTGTGGTTTAGGCAGAAGAAAGCGCCGAACAAACCAAAACAAAGACGGGGAACGCCAACAGACGTACTTGAGCCTGTTTTATGCTGACGATTCAGTTTGTGAAAAATGTGCAGGGGGCAGCGCTTTGTGCATTTGTGGACGGGGGGAGACGTGCTTTTCTCTCAACTGGAATCGAGTAAAGTTATATTTTTTTGGCCTGTTCTGCTCTGACGCCAATCAGAAAGCAGGATGTGTTTGAATGTGAGACCCATCAGAGAGCTTCACCGATCAGTCTGGAGTGAGTCACATTAACCATAAATATTTCACTCATGTACAGCTGAATATTTTCCCGTGTCTCTTACTGTAGCGTGGTCATCTCGGTGAGCGAGGGCTGCGTGGCCTTCAGGTAGCTGGCTCGTCGCGCCTGGACTTTGGGCGAAGGTTTGGGGCTTCCGTCTGAGTCTCCGCTGTCGTCCTCGGCCATAGCTTTGACGTAGCTCCCGCTGCGCATCCTCCGGCACGGAATATCGTCCTCCTTCACCAGCGGACAGAAGCCGCCCCAGTCGTCCTGAGGCACCTGCCAGGCAAGGATCAGGGCAAAACAACAACGTAATAACACTGTGTATGAAAACCTGCTAGGGAAGAACCAGGACAAAACAACAGAACCAATGTACAGACTTATACATGCATCCTGAATTTTGGACTTCCGATCATTGTGCCATTCATACTGGGAAGGATTTTCTGAAAAAGTGAGCATCAAACTTCCATGTTTGTTTTCCCAGTGGGACGTGTCTATTGTCAAAGTCGATCTTTTCAAGTCTTTTGAACCATATAATTTTTGTTTCTGGTTCTGATATTGTCATATTTTAGTTTTGGGATTCGGACATCGTAATTGTGTGGTTGTTGGATCCTAACAGTGGAAAACGGGCTTCATAAGTTCGTGAACTCCATAAATGTAAAAATGAATCAGATGTGTGTGACTGCAAACCTCCGTTCAAACTGTTTCTCTTCCCAACGGAATTGAAAAATAGTGAAAGGTGAAGGCGATGGGCAGGACTGATCCACAAGAAGGACGAACATTTTGTATGTGGAGCTAAATCAAAGCAAAATCCCGTTGATTAATGGAGAGATGCAGAAGACAAACAGACTGAGCTGCACTTTCTTGTTCTTGTGGTTTTACAGCAACATCACGTCTTTGTCTCTTTGCAGTGGAAGGTGTTTCTTGGTGAACAGCTGGTGCTTTTCGCTTTGGCGTTGACTTTTTAAATTCGTAACCGAGGTTGAGCGAGGGATCGGGATTTTGCTTTGATGCTCCACATACAAAATGTTCGCTGCAAACTCGGGATGATGTAATTGCGTGGTTGTTGGATCCTAACAGCGGAAAACGGCTCGAGAAATGGGCTTTGGAAGTTTGCGAGCCCCATAAATGTATTAATAAATTGTGTTTAATTGTTATTACTCAAAGTTCCCTTCCTACTTAAAAGAGTTTTTGATTCCATTTAGATCAGCAAATAATTTACGACACACTGAACAATTGTTTTAATGTTCCTATAATAATAATAAAAAATAATAATTGGCTGCAGAGCATTTAACTTGAAAGCTCCAAATGAATGGAACAATTTACCCTCCTCAAGCCGATCAACTACATCAATCCACCATTTCAAGGCGTTAGTCTTCAGATACAAACGTCCTGCTCCTGTTTTCGATAAAAATACATTTTAGTTCTGTGTTCTTTCTGTTGTAGATACAGTTGCTTTTTTCTTCACAAATATACAAATACAGGTGTGGTGATGATAAAATCAGAGAGATGTATGTATAACTTAAGATTCTGGATTGTACAGTACGAACGCTGTCTGTGTGTTGTGTGAATGTCTTTGTTTGTGTTTGTTTTTCGTTCTGTTTTCATTTGTTTTTTTTTTTCGTTTTTTTCTGTAAATGCTGCTTTTGTTAATGTATTTAGGACCCCCCGCAAAAGAGATACTACATCTCAAAGGGTTTCCATTATAAATAAATAAATAAATAGATGCAAAAGTGAATCAGATGTGTGTGACTCAAACCTCCTTTCAAACTGTTTCTCTTCCCAATTGAAAAATAGTGAAAGGTGAAGGTGATGGGCAGGATTGATCCACAGGAAGGACCAAAAATGTAACGTTTGACTGACAAAAAAATCATCGAGAGTTTGCAGAGAACATTTTATATGTGGAGCGACGACAAAGCAAAATCCCGATCCCTCGCTCAACCTCGGTTACGAATTTAAAAAGTCAGCGCCAAAACGAAAGGCGCCGAGAAACACCTTCCACTGCAAAGAGACCAAGACGTGATGTTGCTGTAAAACCACAAGAACAAGAAAGTGCAGCTCAGTCTGTTTGTCTTCTGCTCCTCTCACTTAACAAACGGGATTTTGTTTTGTTGTTGCTCCACATACAAAATGTTCTCTGTAAACTCAGGATGATTTAGTCAGTCAAATGTTTCCTTTTTGGTTCTTCCTGTGGATCAATCCTGCCCATCACCTTCACCTTTCACTATTTTTCAATTCCGTTGCGAAGAGAAACAGTTTGAACAGAGGTTTGAGTCACACACATCTGATTCACTTTTGTATTTATGGAGTTCGCAAACTTCTGAAGCCCATTTTCCACTGTTAGAACATTCAACAACCACACAATTAACGATGTCCGAATCCCAAAACAAAAATATGACAATATCAGAACCAGAAACAAAAGTGATATGGTTCAAAAGACTTGAAAAGATCGACTTTGACAATAGACGCATCCCACTGGGAAAACAAACATGGAGGTTTGACGCTCACTTTTTCAGAGGATCCTTCCCAGTATGAATTGCGCGATGACCGGAAGTCCAAAATTCGGGATACATGTATATGAGGCACCTGACAGACTAAAAACAGGGAAATACAAACCATAACCCATATGAGGCATCTGTGAAGGAAAAATTAGCACATCCACACTCACACACCACACACGTTTATCTATATTTCTCTATAAGTTCACTTTAAAAACGGCTCAAACTGTTCAGTATTCTTGTCTGACTAGTTTTTTGGCAATAACCGATGAGTGAACTGGTTGTTTGAAGGAGACCTATAATGAAAAATTGACTTTTCAGAGCTTTCAATTGTTTCCCTTCACTTTTCTCCACTCAAAGTTGTTTTCAGAGTGATTAGTTTTAATGAAAAATTCCTTTTCTTTCATACTTTTTTTCTTAATCATTGATACATCCATGATTCCGCAGAGTCGTGTGGCCATTTTGGTAGAAATTAAATTAAAAAACAAAACAAAACATTGGTTGCTACCTTGAACTGCAGTTATCCAGTGAAGGTGGGTGGACTTTAAAATCGCAAAGGAGCACCATTTTCTGACATCAGCAGGTGTCAAGATATTTGGATTACTCAAATACGCGCGCATGAAGCAAAATATAAATGCATAGGTTTTTGATGTACATTAAAAGCTTTAAAAAGATGTCTATTTTTACATGCACTAGGGTTCACTTGCATTCAGCTCGTTCACTTCACTCACAGCTACGAGTTTGTGGATCTTAATGAGTTCGTATACATGCACATCAGTGACCCGGTTTCTTGATGGTGCATGTAAACGCAGTAACCCGGTTTCAGTAACCCGGTTATTAGAAACCGGGTTACTGTAGCTGGTTTATTCCGATAGTAACCGGGATACTGTGGAATGTAAATGCAGTATCCCGGTTACTGCAACATAAAGTTGAGTGCGCATGCGTCCAAAACACAAACACTTTCCAGTCTTTTCACCGCAACAGTAGCGACATAAATAAATTGACCAACATAAATAAAGTGACCACACGAGTGAAATGACTGTAAAATAAAGAGCTGCGCTAAACCTGCACTCGTACGATCTGCACTCGTGTGATCGCTGAAAAGCTAAAACATGAACTATCTCCTATACGATATACACACAGAACAGACTCACCATCATCAGCACCTCTTCTGTCACAAAAAGAACACACATAATCCACTGAGTCGTGTCTTTTAGTCCAAAAGAAACTGATCACATCAGCGGCACAAGGAGCGAGATGTTTTTATCGCCGCTAACAGTTTATGCTAATTAGCGATGCGGTTTCTGTAAAACGTAAACAAATGTGATCAGAGCTGAATTAAACACATGATAATGTCAAACGGGCTGATGTGGCTCTAGAGTTGTTATGGTTTATATGTCGTAAAGTTGAATTTATTTATGCAGATTAGTAGTGCAGATTAGGGCTGGTATCATTAAGGAGTTGCCGATACGATACATACCTCGATACACAGGCCATGATACGATACATATCTCGATACAGTGCACTTTCGATTCGATATGATATATTTCAAATCGATTTGATACGGTTCAATAAAAAAATAAAGGCTAAATCATGGCTGTGATACTAAAAGTCTTTGTTAAACCACTTCTTCTTGTGCAAAGTTCATATGAAACACAAACATTTTAATCATCAAAACAGTAAAAATGTCAAATGTGTCGCATAAATGAGTTTCCTTTCACTCCACAAGCAACAAAACTGTAGCTGTAACAAAATAATTTAGAAAAACACACGTAAAAATACTCTTGGTGATATATCGATACAGCAGCCCACGATATCGATACTGTCTCATCACATTAAACGATACGATATATCGATATTCCGATATTTTTGCACACCCCTAGTGCAGATAGTAATAATAACGATGATAATATTAATATAAAGACGTTAATGATTAAGCGATAATCGATCGTTAATTCTGAACTCGCTGTGTCTTGTTAGATGAGGAATTTACTCTACATTACACTGAGGAAATTTTGTCAGATTTTTTAAGGCAACCGGTTTCCTAGATTTTTTTTCAAGTAAGTAAGGTCGACTCATCAGATTGTACAGTGTAATACGACCTTTAACCTTCGATCTCTCCAGCTCCAAGTTCGGTCAATCACTGGAAGAAGCAGGAGGTAAACGTTTGCCCCTGGACTGATCGTTCTTCCCGTCTCTGTCAAAGCTTCTGTGATTGGCTTTTAACGGCGTCGCTCCAATAAAAGTTTCCGATAACTCCCCTCCTGATCCGACCTGGAGTTACGCCGCCTGATCCTCGCCGCCTGATCCTCGTCGTTCGTCGTTCAGCCCCGGTCCCTGGGAGATGAGTGGAGCCAGCTCTCGTCGGTCTTCTCAGCGTGAGTCTACCTCCAGCAGAACCAGACATCTGCTTCTCCTAATGAGGTCCTGAGCTCCATCCTCCTCTGGCGCCAAAACTACAGCTGTTTAAGTGGAGCAGCTCCGTGTTCAATTATTAAGCCTCGCCAAAGACGAGACTCTACCTAACCAGCGCCGAGTTATATTCTGAAAAAAGAGGAGAGCTTTTAGTCGTGTTAGGATTTGCTGAACTTTTTTAGAATCTGCACTTTGTCATTTTCCGTGGTGATATTAGACTTTTGGGCCCAGTCAAGCAGAAGTACAGGCGAGTTTCAGCTGACGTCATTGTTATTAAAAGCCCGCGTTGCATGCTGGGAAATATTTTGGTCGGAGGCAAGAAACACGATGGCGGTCAAACACAGTGCATAACCTCGCGTATTTATC